GCCCTTCTCCCATAGGACTCAGGGCGGTTCACAGCATATTAAAAACAAATAATATACCCAAAATACAAAAAATACACAATACAAAAATACAAAAATACAAAAGAATAAACCCCGATAAAAGCCGAATTAAAACCAAATATTACCAGCTGTGTTTCCAATTAAAATACTTTTAAAATTATCCCTACCTAAAATCCTCCCTCTTTACGCTATTGGCGGGATTTCCATGGAGGAAGGGGCAGGGATCTTCACAAGGCAGGGCTGCCACTCAATCTTTCGAGACAGCGGCAATTTAGTATTCACCCCACTTAGGGCAGCATGCCAACAGCAGCTCCCAGCACCCAGAAGCTCTGCTTTTTTGCACCTGGAACTACACCAATCTCATCCAGCTGTTTGATGGGGGAAACTGCAGCAGCTGAGCTCTTAAGACACTCTGTTCATTTCTGGGGTGTTGAAATGGGCTTTCAAATCTGTTTTCTCGGGTTATTTTTATTGTTACTCTTGGATCTCTACAATGTGGGGAAGTGAGGTGGTGGCCAAGTTTCAGGTGACTCACAGATGTGGCATCTGATCTCATCCCCTCCTTCTGGGAAACAACTCTGTACAGTTGACACAGAGCAGGGCAGTCTGGTGAAATACCTCTCTGAGCTGAACTTTAGTACAAACAATATGGGTGGAGAGAGGAACTCCCGGCTCAGGATATCATGGGTCCGATTATTACTATTTATATATCTCTTGCAATGAATGGAAGTTCCCTCTTTTATGTCAGGGGTAATCCTCTGTCTGCAACAGCTGTGTAACAGGAACAAGTCTGCGAATGACGCTTTCTCTAATAAGGCAACACAGAGAAGGAGGAAGATTGTACCTGTTGTAGGTACTTTGCTTATATCCTGCCTTGGGCACACAGCCAGCTGGGTGATATTGGGCCAATCACTCACTCACTCACTCTCTCTCTGTCTCAGCCCTGGGAAGAAGGCAAGGGTGAGCCACTTATAAAAACCTTGCCAAGAAAACCCCAGGGACTATTCCAGACAGTCGCCAGAAATCAGCGATGACTCAAAGGCACAGAGAGAGAGAGAGATGCTTATGTTTATGATGCAAATCCCACAAGGTAGACTTTTTGATCAAATAACCCTTACTGTGGGCTGATACACACACACACACACACACACACACACACATATATAAATCCACATATACAATCCAGGCTGCCATTTTCTCTTATCAGTAGACCTCTATTCTTCCTGGCGTTGTACAAAAGACACAAGGGTGAATTGGCAACCTTCACTAACAACAACACTTCTGCTATTTACTCCATATCCTAAACCACAGATCTTCTTGTAAATGAGTTACTTCTGTTTAACCACCAGTCCTTCGTGGGGCAGCTTGACAGTTAAATAGCCCACAACGTTTAGTTGATGGTTCACTCAATCAGATTACTAGCAAGGGGCTGGGAAGTTCTCTTGGAGTTGAATGAGAGCCTCGGGAGGAGGCAAGATTCCTGAACGAAGGGAAGGAGAGAACACTGTGAGAAAACAGTGCAAGGGAAATAGCAGTTAGTTTGGAAGAAACAGAGAAACAAATTACTAGCTGGAATTAAGTAGGCCTGCGGTGGGAATCGGAAAATGTGCCTTGAGGGAGAGCCCGGGTGTTGCCCCCTTCTCTAGCCAATCTTGAGAAGCAAAGCAGGGATTCGCAAAAGATCCATCTGCCAAGTCTTGGCTTTCTGTTTGGAAAAAGAAACTAAACTCAGCATCTTAGGACGGAAGGTCTCGCTCTCGGAGGGATGGGGACGGACTTGCACGCGCGCCCTTTCGACAGCAGAGGGCAGCCCTGAACCGCGGCAGCCCGCTTCGCGCGACCAATCCCGAGCGCTTGGGCAGAGCGAAGGTTTTGCTCGCCTTTCTGCGTCCTTTCGCCCTCCCGACCGTTTTCTCTGGGTGTCCAACCACGGATCCCTTAATACTAGATCATTACACCCACCGTACTAGCGGCGATAGAGAAACAGAGAGTGCACCCGTGTGCGTGTGAGTTATTGAAGATTGTGCGAAGAGTTGCAACAGGTGCAGCTCCTCGAGTCCCACTATATCCTGGTCCTAGGAAGGGGAAACCAACCCTTTACTGTTCAAGGAGCCCCGTTGCCTCTTCCTTAATCTTGGTTAGACGATAACTCGCAAGTTAAGTAAGTGCTGGTTGGTTTTGCAGCCAGTCCCACTCTGCAGCTGAGGTTTGGGCACCTTAAGAGGGTTCTGTGGCTTTGATTGCTCTCTCAATCCTAGCCTCCAAATATTTGCTTTTTTTAAAAAGCATGATCAGGTGTTGTCCCAGCAAAGAAAAGCGAGGGGCTTTTTATTAGACAACCGTGATTAAAAAAAAACAAAAACCTAAGAGCTTGGCACAGGTCCGTTACAGGGTGGTGTACAAGAATACAGTAGGACGGTATACAAGTGCTACGTATGTCGAGAGCGATCTTCCTGGGGCGGGCTCATTTAAAAGCGAGCCGAATGTGCTTACTTTTGTGATTCAGAAGCCAAGATAGTTCTCTTGCACATTTAGAGTAGCCTCTGAAAAATTTGAGCAGGATAGTCTGTGGGCCTGGGTTTTATTGGGCAACCCTCCCAGCTGCAGTCTGTCAAGGGTGCCCCGAGGTAGCAATTAATTTGAAAACCGTCCCGCTTTTTCCCACTGCTTCTGAAGTTCTTTTATTTAATCGTGGAAAAGAATCCGCTAAGGAGGGGAAAAAAAAAAAAGGCGTGATGCCTTCGGATGAACGGCACCATCTGGGTTCACACAACATGCGGACCTAAGTTAGAAAACATTCTAGGCCTGGGGGTGCCTCTGCATTGCATTGCATTGCTTTGGTGGATCGTGCAAATTCGGCCAGTTTGGTCAAGTTTTGGTTCAGCGTCTTGCTAGAGAGCCCAGAAAACGGATCAATTCCGTCGTCGGGTTGAAAGGGTTGTGAGAACGCACAGAAAGCAAAAACAAGGGGTCGGGAGATTTCCAGCTCACCTGCCGGACTCCAGGCGACTTCACTGCGTTGTGGGATCATCGTCACCGACGCGGCCAGGTAAGTCCCCTATTCCGATCAGGAGCAAGGAGAGAGCGGAGCTAGGCTGTCTAAGCCCAGCTTACCGAGCTCCCTTTCCCGGCATAGTTGCGTTAATAAAACAAAAATGAAAAATCCTCTGCCCAGCAAGTCCGGCGTTTGGTATCTACCAAAACGCGGCTCTCGCTCAGCGTCTCGGACTCTCGTTTCCCCGGGCAAACTCACGAACCGCTCCTTTCCCTACCGCGCTCTGGCCTATCAGGGAACGGAGCGTATTTGCATCGCTCCGCCCACCAACCTCCGAAGGTTCTGAGTTCTATGCAAACGAGGAGGGAGGAGGAAGTGGAGCGCGGGGAAGTCCCCGCCCGTGTCCTGGAAAGATCTTGCGCAATGGCTCGAGAAAAAAAACAACAAAAATAAACGTAAACCGGTTACGTTGTGGAAACCGAGCTGCGCCTGTCTTCCTGGCTGTTTCTAGGGAACAGTCCGCACCCTTTACTCCAAAGTCAGCAGGTTCCTCGGAATTTCAGTTATTCGGCGAAAAGACTTCCCTTTTCCATGGTACTGTAGAGTCAATGAAAAGCGTCGCTGATTATACAGTAATTCTGATTCCAGAATCAGTAGTAGGTCTGTTATTACTCTCAGTAACATCCAAAGAGTAAAAGAGTTGAAATGGAATTGGGCTGGTCACACAGCGAGAAGAACTGATGGCAGGTGGACCAAGGAAGTCATAGAATGGATTCCACTTGATAAAAAGCGGCCACGAAAGGGACCTAAACCAAGATGGCTTGATGACATCACCAAGTATTGCAGGCTTAAAAGTTCAGGGCCACATGGGTTGGAAACGTGGAAGAGGCCTTCATCCTGCAGTGGGTAGACAATGGCTAGAATGATGATGACCATTAAACTCCTTCCCTTTCTGGTCCTGTAAGTCCCTCTAGGCCAGGGGTAGGCAACCTTGGCTCTTTTATGACTCGTGGACTTCAACTCCCAGAATTCCTGAGCCAGCCATGCTGGCTCAGGAATTCTGGGAGTTGAAGTCCACGAGTCATAAAAGAGCCAAGGTTGCCTACCCCTGCTCTAGGCACAATGGTAAAAAAAATGTGGAACTTATTTTCAGCCAATTTCAAGTGGGAAACTTTTGAAAGGTGTCTCAAGATTGACATGGGATTTATGTACAGTAATTTAGGAAGCAAAGAATCCCAGTATTAAACATCCAGCCTCACCCTATTTGCTAATCCAGTCACCAAAGGATAATAACTTTTATATAAAGGTTGATAGGCTGGGATTGGTGGGTGGTGGGTCAGCAGGTACAGTCCGCTGGGATCCTGTCGAGGTTCTAAAAACTTGACCTGACCAGAGCACACAAAATGGCTGCTTCCTAAGTGAAATAATATGATACACCAGTGGTGTCAAACTCAATTTCATTGAGGGCTGCATCAGCATTGCAGTTGCCCTGGGGGGGGGGCA